ATGCCCTCTCTTCTTATCAGCTGGACACTTCACTCTCCACTCTAGTCCTCTGTGGTAATGTCACTGACTCTGGGCCCAAGAGTCCCCAGGTCTTGCCACACTGCTGGCCAACCAGGTCTTCACAACTGTTGTATTTTATCAAAGTAATAGAAATCTAGTTGAAAGCTTATTAAGATTAGCATGTACATAGGAAATTAATAAACTATACTTATTTGCATGAGATTGGAAAATCACTTTTTGGCATAGCTTAAAAATCCCCTCCTAGGTATAAATAGAATCAAAAAGAGATCTTTCTGAGATGTTACAGGGATATCCTGCAGAGTCATAAATTCTTTATTTCTTTTTGAGTTGCCCTTACTGTGTGTGTCAAATGTTAAGATTAGTCCTGGACTAATTGGCTTTTAGTTTTCTTACGTTGTCAAATATCTGGAAATGATAAAGCCATGTTTCCTTTAAAAACATGTATGTATGTTAAAAACATATACGCATGTTATGTAGGATAAACGTTGGGCTGCAAACTATAAGGTCATTAGTTTGAGCCCACCAGCTGTTCCACGGGAGAAGGATGAGGCTTTCTGTTCCCACAGAGATTTACAACCTCAGAAATCCTATGCAGGGTTTCCATGAGTCACAACAGACTAGACAGCACTTTTCAGCAATAACTTTATAATAAAGCATCACAAATCTGTAAAGTCAGTTCCCTACCACAAACTCTGACTTATATGGTTGGCTCTGCTGGCTTTTCATCTCTAAAAACAAGTATCTGAATTCCTTGTAAAAAAAAAAAAAAATCACACCTCTCAGGATTGTCTCATATAACTTTAATTGCAGATCTAATCATCTCATCAAAACTGTTGGTCTGATTAAGGTAAAATTAAGTGTACATTTATATGTTAGGAGTATTTGGTTTTATTTTGCTTTTTTGTTCTTGTTGTTCATGATTATTTAGATAGAAAACTGAATGTTTTATTTAGGCACACAGGCAGTCCAGCTAGTAGAAATATTTGTATCAAGTGAAGAAAAGTAGCCAAGTGCTAGATTTTTTGGTTCTTCCTGCTTGAGGTAGGAGTTTATGCCATTTCCTCTTCACTACTACACAGTGAGTCTTTGAACATGAAGTCTAAGTTATCATTAAGTGTTGTTACTGTGGGGCATTCTGTAAGAGACTTGCCTTCACAATCATAGCCAAACCAATGCGGAGGGTCCTCGGGGCTGTAGTCTTGGTGCTGAACAAAAGCTGACATTCTGAGAGCTGCCTCCCTGTAACAATAGTGATTAGCGTTAGCTCACTGCTGAAATAATCACTAGGGAAGAATTTTCAAACTCGCCTACAACAGTCATGTCCGAATGCCTTATACTAAGCTCCACATCTCAGCAATATCCCTCAACAATAATCAAGCAGATAGTTGAGGAGAAGTTTGGCAAACAACTAGTAATTTACAATTACTTGCAAGCTGGTTTAAGCAGATTATTTTTTTAACTCCTAGGAGAGATTAACTGAATAAAAGTATTTTGAGAGAAGAGTAGGAGAGCTAGAGATAATGCTGCAAAGAGTCGAGATAAAATGTAGAGTAGCTACTAGAAAGGGGATATGGAATGACAGAAACTGTTTTTGAAGAAAACTTCCCTTGGCTCAATTAAAAATGTTGGCTTTAGTTAGGCATAAAATAAGTGAACTTGTCTACTTCTGAAAGCCACTATGTACTAAGAATGTCGTAGTCACATATTTTGCTATCTCAGAAAGCAGTTCCCAAAGCTCTTCAAACTCAGGGACATACTTACTCGGAAATATGTTTGCAGTATCGCATCTTAAGGATCCGGAGTTGATCACAACCTCTCTCAAGGTTCTCAAGGATTTTGTCAGTAAGCAGGATACAACCAGAGATATCCAAAATGTGCAGGTAGTGGCATTTTGCAGATAGTAATTCCATTGCGGCATCAGTAATCTGAACATACAGCCCAAGTAAGACTTGGTTAGTCAAATGGACAGCATCTCAGAGAACAACAAAATTAGTATCCTTGCAGATGTCCCCCCATCCCCACCCCCGTTTGTCACAGAATATGCCTTTCATTCTAGTGGTTTACCTCTGTTTCCAGATAAGGTCTACAGAAATACAATCAGGACCAACACAATTTGTGGGTATGCTGTTATATTCATGGTAAGGACTCTGATAAAGGAGTCCTGGTAGCCTAGTGGATTATGAGCTGGGGTATAAACCACAAGATCAGCAGTTCAAATCTACCAAATGCTCTGCGGGAGAAAAATGAGGCTTTCTGCTCCTGTACAGATTTACAGCTTTGGAAACCCTGTACAGGCACACAACCACCACCACCACCACCACCACCAGGACACTCTGATATGGGTGGGAAACATCATCAAAACTTTCTTAGTATTACTTTGTTACATTAACTATGAGCAATACTAAAGCTATGGGCTTTGGTCTTGAACTTAAACTCATTCTGAGGTGTCAGTTTGGAAGCATAAGTTTTAATAACATTCTGAAGGGCTTCAAAAACTGGAAAATGGAATTAAAAGATAACTTTTTCCATGAACTTTTTGAAGACCCCTCGTAGTTCTACAAAATGTTTATCTTTTGTAGTTCACCTGCAGATGGGGTCAGGTTGCCTGGAGTACAAGCTTGGATATCTCTGATGATTTATGTATAAGAAAGGTGGGAAATCTGAGCTTTTTTTAGAAAGGGACAAGTAGGTGAGACAAGGTTTGCAGGCAGGTGAAAAAAGGAGCAGAAGCCACAGAAAGTTGGCATGTACCTTGCTCTGAGAAATTCTGAGAGTTCCAACATTCTGCCCCGAGGTTCTGTAGAAATAATTCAGCCCCACTTCTAGGATGATTTCACTTGTTGTTTTCGTTACAATCCCAAATAGCTATTGTATGCACAACAGAACCAAATGCTGCCCAGGCCTGCGCCAGCCTCACAGTTGTTAAGTTGGAACTCATTGTTTTTACCACTGTGACAGTCCATCTTATTGGGGTGGGGTGGGGTGGGGTGTCTTATCACACTATATAGCCACTGTTAATATTCTGGAGTCTTTCTTACTAGGTCTTCGCCTACCTCCCCACTCCCAAGAATTGTAAATACAGAACTTAATATTGCATCATGTTTTTTTTGTTCACTAATGCATTCCCATACTACTTCATAGTCGTCATAGTTACAATCTTTATTAGTTATAAAACGTTTCACTTATTAGATGTAATTTACCATTTCCATATTTCTGATCATTTCAATATTCCATTTTTTTAACTATTTAAATAATTTACTGTTTTAATCACATTGTGTTGAATGTGTTTATGAATATAGTCTCCAAATTTTGAATCATTTCCCTTGAAGACAGATTCCAGATAGTGAAATTAATAGATCTCAACTTGAAAAATTTCAAGAGTGTTTTTCCCTTTTGGTTTTCTAATCTACATCTTTCTGCACATTTCAGTGTGATATGTAACTATCTTCTCGAGCTGCCCTTTGAAATTTTCTGTGTAGCTCTTTTACCTCCTCATCTCCTCCATTGGCTTTAGCATCTCTTTGCTCTACAGAGCAAGTTTCAGTCTGTTCAGACATCCACTTTGGTCTTTTCCTTCTTTCTTGTCTTCTTGATGATCTTATGCTCTCTTCCTGTATGATGTTCTTGATGTCATCCCACAGCACTTCTGGTCTCCAGTCATTAGTGTCTTATGCATCAAATCTGTTCTTGAGATGATCTCTAAATTCAGGTGGGATATGTTCATATCATATTTTGGTTCTTGTGGACTTGTTTTAATTTTCTTCAGCTTTAGCCTGAACTTGTATATGAGCAGTTGATTGTTTATTCCATAAACTGCCTCTGGCCTTGTTTTGGCTAATAATATGGAGCTTTTCCACTACCTCTTTCCACGAATATAGTCAATTTGATTTCTGTGTATTCCATCTGGTGAGGTCCATGTGTATAGTCAGTAGTCTTTCATGTTGTTTTAAAAGATATTTGCAATGAAAAAGTCATTGGTCTTGCAAAATTCTATAATATGATCTCCAGCATTGTTTCTATCACCAAGGCCATATTTGCCAATAAGTAATCCTTCTTCTGTGTTTCCAACCTTTTCATAATCACCAGTAACTATCAGTACATCTTTTGATTGCATGCTTGATCAATTTCAGACTGATGGTAGAATTCTTCAGTTTTATCATCACTGGCTTTAGTGGTTGGTGTATAAACTTAATTAATAGTTATATTAACTGATCTTCTTTTAGCCGTATGGACATTATTGTATCACAAACAGCATCGTACTTCAAGATAGATCTTGAAATGTTCTTTTTGATGATGAATGCAATGTTATTCCTTTTCAGTTTGTCATTCTTGGTATAGTAAACCATGTGATTGTCAGATTCAAAATAGCCAATACCAATCTATTTCAGATCACTAATGCCTAGGACATTGATGTTTATGTGTTCTATTTTATTTTTGTCAGCTTCCAATTTTCTTAGATTCATACTTTGTACATCCCATGTTCTGATTATTAATGGATGTTTACAGATGCTTCTCCTCATTTTGAGTTGTGCCCCACCAACAAATGAAGGTCTCAAAAGCTTTACTCCATTCACGTCATCATAATCAACTTTACTTTGAGGAAGCAGCTTTTCCCAGTCATTTTTTGAGTGTCTTCCAACCTGAGGGGCCCATCTTCCAGCACTCTATTTGACAATATTCTGGTGCTATTCATCGTGTTTCAATATCCAATATTCTGGTGCTATATGGCAGTATTCCACTGCTTTTTATAAGGTTTTCAATAGCATAATGGTTACAAGTCAGGCTCCTAACCTCAAGGTCAGAAGTTCAAAACTACCAGCCATTCTGCAGGAGAAACATGAGGCTTTCTGGTCCCATAAAGATTTATAACCTCAGAAACTCTATACAGGGTCATTATGAGTCAGAACTGACTCCACGGCTCACAACCACCAACCATCAAATATTCAGAAGTAGTCCGTTTCTCCTTCTTCCTAGTCTGTCTTAGTCTGGAAGCTTAGCTAAACCGATAGGTGACCCTGCTGGTATTTAAAATTCCAGTGGCATAGCTTCCAGCGTCATCGCAACACACAAGCCACCAGAATACTTCAAATTGACAAGTGCTGGCTGCATATCCAGGGATTGATTCGTTTTGCCATTCCACTAGGCTTAAAAGCAGATCTCTCAAAAGCAGGACATAACATCCCAGGACTATCAAAGGAAGAAGAGCCTTGAGCAGAGCACAGGAACTCTGCTCAGAAAAGCAGTGGCAGGAGAGACAGCAGCATGGAGGGTCAGACTAGTGGCCTTCAACCCACAGACTGAATGAGACTGAGTTCCTTGGGGCAGGAGGCTGGCTTGCAGAATGAGGTGTCCTTTGGGCAGTTACCTTCTGGGCTAATAGATATAGTAAGCTTTGCTTGAGCAGGGCAGAGGCCAAGGTCTCAGGTGGCTGAGAGACTGAGGACTTGAGAGAGGCATGCCTGTGGTATGACTGAGAAGAGGTGCTCCTGACTGGAAAATTGCTGTATCCTGAGTTGTTTCTGATCCTGACTTACACTGTTAACTTCCCTAATAAACCCCATCATCCTTAGTATTGCCTGTGAGTTCTTTGTGGCCATTGTAATGAATTATTGAACCCAGTAGAGAAGTAGAGTGCTGTGGGAGGAATGGTTCATGTCAGAATAAAGAAGGTTAGAGGGTGGTGGTGAGTCTAACTTCCACCTCAGAGGAATTGGTCTGGGGCTGCTGTGGAGTTTTGATTCTCCTCCCCCAGTGACGCTGGAGGAGGTCAGACATGGATGGCTTCCCGGCCAGGCAAGAAAGGTAGAGGCTCTATGAAAAGCCTATCCTTGTACGTTGTTTTTGTTGTTATGTGCTGCCAAGTCGGTTCCAACCCATAGTGACCCTGTATAGGGTTTCAGAGGAGTAGCTGGTGAGCTTGAACCACCAACCTTGCAGTCTGGTGCATTAACCCACAGCACCGCACCAGGACTCCTTGTATATTAAGCTGTATTTGGCTATTTTTTAACAACACTGTTCTATTATTTTTATTTTTAAGAATATATGTCCAGTGGTTTTAAAATGGCCACAGATGCTTTTCAGCTCCTCCTGAAAAAGTGGGGCTTGTTTCTCCACCCTTTAAATCTAACACTGTGACTTAATTGTGAACAAAAGGGGCCTTGCCGTTTATGCTCTTGCCCACTTGAAATGTGTTTTTGCCCTCTGAAGTTCAACTAGCCTACTAATACATGAAACTACAATAAACAAGGAGAAGCCATTGTAACTATTGTGCTTATGTGGAGTCAGTTCTGACTCATAGAGACCCTGTGTATGGTTTCCAAGAGCAGCTGGTGGGTTTGAATTTCTGACCTTGTAGTTAGCAGTCCAGTGCTTATCCTGCATGCCACATCGAGGCAACAAAAAAAAAAAACCTAACCAGAGAACAAACAAGATGGCGGACCGGGTAGACGTGCAGTGAGGAGTCCATCAGCAACAACACACAGTACATGACCAAGCAGGCTCAGGGGATGGTGCCAGAACTCTGAATCACATATAAGGAATATTTAGAATGTTGGAAGACTTACAGCTAGGGGAATTTGTACCAGAAACAAGAAATCCATTACTTTCTAATCCAAGATGCTCAGCTGCTCCCAGAGTTACAATGTTGGGTGAGACCATGTAGGGGAAGGATCAGAGCAGTCATGGACACCTGACAGAACCTCAGATATAAAGGTGTGGACATTCTTTTTATTTTCTTAATCTGTTCATTGGTCTCTCGCTGGCTGTACACCTTCATCATTCTGGTGACTAGAGGGGGTGTCTAAGCGAGTGGACACGTCACCCCCACCCCCAGAGGGTTCTACTATGCATGCACACAGATCTCAAATTTAAAATGACATTTTCCACTTAAAACCAAACAGCAGTGCAAAACGTCCACAGCTGGCCCTGAACTGTTTATCACTAGTAAAAAGGCCTGAACAGGCATTGTAGAGCAGGACAGATAGACTTAAAAGGAAATAGGCCAAAAATTAAATCCTGAGTTATGTCACAAGGACCAAACAATGGCATCTTGAAATTTCTCAGGAAGAAGAGTGAAAAAGAAAACCCATCTCCTGATCACATCTACCAGGAGGCAATCAGAAAGCATAAAAAATACCAAACTACACACCCATCTAAGTATTAAGGCCACAGATAACGCCTGAATATGCCCCCAAAACAGAAACAGATGGCTATATCAGCACATGTCCAGAAACGAGATAAGACTGAGGCAAATGAGCTGAAAGTAGACCTACACTCCATACTGGAAGAGGACAGGCTTTAAAAATGCATGAGAAGGAATTCAGAAAAATGATTATAAAAATATATCAAAATGCTATACATTGGAGTTGAGAAGAATAAGGAAGAAGTCAGGAAAGTGCTACAGGACCAATCAAATAAGATAGATACAGCCTTAGGAACAATTCAAAACCTATACAGAAAAAGGTCTAAACAATTAATAACAGAATATCAGAAATGGGCAATACACTGAAAGGACAAAGGAGTAGAACTGAAGAGATAGAAGCCAGAACTAGTGAGCTAGAAGATAAATCTTTCAACACTTCTAAGATAGAAGAGTAAGCATAAAAAAGTATTTAAAAAATCTGAAGAAGGCCTAAGATTCATGTTGGACAACATGATGAGGAATTACTTAAGAATTACCAGCATTCTAGAATAGGAAGAATCACACAAGTCCACAGAGGAGATAGTTGAAGAGCTTCTGAAAGAAAATTTCTCTAACATCCTGAAAAGCAAAAAGATAAGCATTCAAGAAGTTCAACGAACCCCAGGAAGGCTAGACCTTAAAAGAAAATCACCAACACATATAATAATCAAGCTCTCCAAATTCAACGATAAAGACAGAATCCCGAAAGCAGCTAGGGAAAAGAGAAGTGTAACATACAAAGGCAAACAAATCAGATTAAGCTCAGATCGCTCAACAGAAACGATGCAGGCAAGAATGCAATGGGGAAACATATA